CCGAGCCACTACCTACCTACGTACCTAACTATATATATATATATATATATATATATATATATATATGTGTGTGTGTGTGTGTGTGTGTGTGTGTCAGGTTGCTTGACCCTCATATGTCGAATTCGACGGGAGAGTCGAGATATATATATATATATATATATATATATATATATATATATATATATATATATATATATATATATATATATATATATATAAAAGAGGGATGCACGGTGGAGTAATGGATAGCGGCTTGGATCGGAGAGGCGAGTTCGAATTCAGTTGAATCTATTGGGTTGGTGCAAAAATAATGACGTAATAATGTCGTTTTTGACGTCAAAAACGACATTCTTACGTCATTATTTTTGCACCAACCTAATAATTACATTCACTATCATTATTTTGTTTTTTGGTAAAATTCCGGTAGCATCCGAGACCTATTTAATTTTTTTTTCGTCTCGGGTGCTACCTGAATTTTACCAAAATCAAAATAATTTCCATGCTTGAGGATGACTAAATATACAGTTGAAAGCACTTGCGAAAGACCTCATACAGTTCATAATTTACAAAAAAAAAAACAAAACAAGGATCATAACATTCATCGAGTGATTTGTAGGTTAATTCACCTTTAAAATTTTGTTAGCGAAGGGATTTCGCCATTTTATATCATTAACTTTACTAATCTACTTTTTGTATGAATGATTCATTGTAATATATATATATATATATATATATATTCACGAGGGAATGTAAAAAAATATCCGCACTCCTGTCTAAAGATACGTTATGGTGAAAGTACAAATGATTTTGAACTACCCTTTCATGTATGCACACAAATCAAAATAAATATCACTATATATATATATATGTTTGTGCGTGTTTGTGTGTTATTCTTGCTTATTTTTTATTTTTGTTTCGGTTCATTTTTTTTTTTAAGTTATTTTACTTTTATGTCTTATCTTTCTTTCATGTCCATCCGTTTTTTCTTTTATCCCGGTCTTTTTTGCTACTCCAACACCCCCGGCCACGGCTCTGCATTGCCTGACCCCAAATAATTGCATGCAAGCGGCTTCTTCAACTCCCTGTCTGAGCTTCCCATCCAACTCTGAGGTTAAGACCCGCTTGATATACCGTCTGCGGGGAAACAATACGATCAATCTTACCAGCTCTTTTTCCCTCTGTTCGTCCCTTCGCTTCTTTGCTGTCAATTTTCTCAAACGACAAGGGAAATGAAGAGTTTTTGATATTGGCCAAGCAATGCGCATATCAACGAAACACCGGGATTGATCTGAATACGCCAAGGCTAACAATGGGTAAAACGGCTCTTTACGCTTATTAGTAGCAAAGAACATAGCGTGGTATTATGTCGGGATAGGCTTAGCACCCAATTTTGTACTGGACTATCAAGAAAATCTGGTGCAGTCATGAACTGAGGCGAGCACCGACCGCAGAATGACGAAGTACTTGACCGCACACCAGCATCCGTTTTTTTTAAAGTGATGTTTACGTGCACTAGTGAAACTTGTAACCGTGTTTACTAAGTCTGATCATACCAGTCTCCTTATCTCTTTCTATCTTTATCTATCTGTCTAACTTTAAATTTTCTTGTAACCGTATATGTTAAGTCTATTCATATCTCTCTATCTATTTTCTATCTATCTTTCTATCTATCTATCCCAGTCTGTTCATATCGATCTGCCTGTTTATATCTATCTATCTATCTATCTATCTATCTATCTATCTATGTCCATTTCGTTCTTTCTTTCTTTCTATCTATCGCAGTCTGTTTATATCTATCTATCTATCTATCTATCTATCTATCTATCTCGGTCTTTTGATTTCTACCTATCTATCTACCTATCTGGTGCAGTCAGGAACTGAGAGGACAACCGACCGCCGAATGCAGAAGTACGTTACCGCACACCAGCATCTATCGTTATCTATCTGTTATGGTAATTTACCCACGCGCACATGGATTCTCCCAGCTATAAATAGGAGCAGGTACTGCCTTTTGAATAGGGAAGTATTCAGTAAGCAGCTCCGGACAGTTTCTGTTAATATATTTGTTTAACTCAATTCCTCTCTTTGTGTCTTTATATTTCTGGCCCTATCAAGGCCACAACACTATCTACTTATCTTTTTGTTTTTCTTAGCACACCTCGTATCCGTATATATCAATTTTGTTTATATCTATCTATCTATCTATCTATCTATCTATCTATCTATCTATCACAGTCTGTTCATGTGCATCTATCTCAGCATGTTAATATCTATCTATCTATCTATCTATCTATCTATCTATCTATCTAAGTCTGTTCATATCTATATATCTATCTATCTCAGTCTGTTCATTTGCATCTATCTCTGCATGTTCATATCTATCTATCTATATATTTATCTATCTATCTATGTGTTTTCATATCTGTTTATCTATCTATCTGCTTGTTTATGTATATCTAAGTCTGTATTTATCTATGTATCTCATTCTGTTTATTTGCATGTATCTCAGCATGTTTGTATCTATCTATCTATCTATCTATCTATCTATCTATCTATCTCATTTGTTCTTATCTATCTATCTTCTATCTCAGTTTGTTCATTATCTATCTATCTATCTATCTATCTATCTATCTATCTATCTATCTCAGTTTGTTCATTATCTATCTATCTATCTATCTATCTATCTATCTATCTATCTAAGTCTGTTCATATCTATCTATCTATGTCAGTCTGTTCATTTGCATCTATCTCTGCATGTTCATATCTATCTATCTATCTATCTCATTCGGCTCATATCTATCTGCTTATGGATATCTATCTATCTATCTATCTATCTATCTGTGTTCATATCTATCTATCTATCTATCTATTTGTTTGTTTATGTATATCTATCTAAGTCTGTATTTATCTATCTATCTATCTCATTCTGTTCATTTGCATATATCTCAGCATGTTCATATCTATCTATGTATCTATCTATCTATCTACATAACGTGCCTTTAGTGTAACGAATATCAACGCAAAAAAAAAAAAACTGAATAAGCTAGCCGAGTTCAAATTCCTCCATCGTCTGTTGCTTTGATTTTCATATAAATACTCTTGGAAAAGAAGCTAAGTCGTCGCTTTTTCATACAGTTATGCGTTTAATGTCAGTGTGTCAATCACTTTCTAACAACAGAAAACTCTAAATTCATAGCCGTTACAAAAGGTTATTTGGAGAGCCACAATCGTCTATATCTTGAAAGCATTAAACAAAATATAATACTTAATACGTTTTAATCATTCTGGGAAAAATGGTCTCATATTTGCGTATATGCACACACAATGTTAGAAATAGTGCTGTGAGCCTTTTAAAACAGCATTCTTGCCTTTTCTGGCAGTGTGTTATCGTTTTTCTGACAGCCTTTTCCCTGGAGGCTCATTGTACTTGGCCGGGTGTTCGTCTGTAAGATAACGAGATGACGCACTGACATGAAAGGCGCCACGCGAACCAAGATTAACATTTCGAATAGCCTCTTCCTTCCTTTATCGGCCTGTGCTGATCAGGAATGGTTCTGCCAGTAGCAAATGGTCATTCGTGATGCAAGCCATAATATTATCTCTGCATAGCATTCAACTATGAGATCCCCAACACCAACACTTTATCTATAGTAATAACGCCGATGAGCAAATGTACATCCGAAGCCTTGACACAGTTCGAGATATATACAGTATCTTTCGAATTTGCGCTGGCAACACACATGGCACTCTTTTATTTAAAGTTCTGATACATACACTTAAAACTTGTGAATAAACTGTCCAAATTCCGTGTTTTTATTCGAGTACTCTTATATCCCTTTTTTTTTTTTTTTGAGATGAACAAAAAGGAATTAAAATAAATAAAAGACAAGTGCATTTTAGCACACAATAAAGTGTTACATTATGTATCGTCTCTGGGTTCCCACGCTACTGCTTAAAATAAAGGAAAAGGACTGTTTCTTTTTGTTATTTGTTTTATTAAGGGAGAGAGAGACACAGAGAGAGAGAGACAGAGAGAGAGAGAGAGAGAGTTGTGACAACTTGGATTCTAAGTGTTGGTAGAAAGAATGACGTCACAAGAACGCATGTCACATGTTGTCTCCGAGTCCCTCCGTGGGTGTTCTTTGTCGCAGTCGCTAACCTAGGTGTGGGAGGCTTATCGACATTTCGGAATTCTTGCGGCACTCTGTTGAATCCGAGCCGTTTTGCACTTATAATCCAAACCCAGACAAAATCCAAACCATCACTCTCAGAATACCACGCCTATATATATATATATATATATATATACATATATATATATATATATATATATATATATATATATATATATATATATATATATATAAAGATAAAACAAACAAATACAGAGGCGGACAGACATTATCTAAGTCTTGATATTGCGAGTTAATAAGCTAGGGAAATTCATTTGATTCATAATTTCTACTTATCCTCAGAAATCCCAAGGCATTTTTTTTTCTCATACACACTTTTGTTTTTCTTTTATTTTAACCTGAGGAAGCCGAAGAGACCATACGTTCTCCAGCGAAACGCAACGCAAATAAAAATTTTCCCATATACACCCAGTATATATATACATATATATATATATAATATTAGTGGTCAATATATATATATATATATATATATATATATATATATATATATATAAAATTCCCAAGATGATAGAATCTAGGTAGAACTCAATGTCCAGGATAGAGTAAGAATATAGTATAAAAGGTTCAAACAAATTCAAAAATTTGCATTTTTGAATTTGTAGGTCTGATGAACTGGATCGTGCTTACGTTTTCAATGTAATAAATTATAACCATGGAATATTAGTGTTTGAGTCTTTTATATTATATATATATATAGCCGCCTGATGATCCCGAGAGAGTGAAACTGGAGTAGCGACTCGCGCTCTCTTTTATTGTGTGTTGACCTTGAGAAGCGTTTTTTGCTCGGTCTAGACAGTCACGTAGGTAAGTTTTTACCATGTGGTCTTTCCTGTTTTGCATATTACGCCGTGTGGCAATTTCTTGTTTCTTGGCATGCACACACACACACACACACACACACACACATATATATATATATATATATATATATATATATATATATATATATATATATTTAGGAGGATTTAAATAATCATAATTAATTAATCGAGTCTAGAAGAATCCTCAATAGCAGTGCACATCCACTGCCTAGAATCGAACTCAGACCGTTACGATATGACGCAAGTGTCATACCCACTAGACCAAGGGGGTAACATACTAGACTCGATATAGAGCCAGCAAGTTCCGTCGTGTGTCACGTGCAAGTCTACTTAGACCAATTGAATGTGCCCCCCTGAGTTACGCCTTCTATCGTAACGGCCCTGGTTCGATTTCCTTGTCGTGGATGCGCACTGCTGATGAGTCACAAAAATAGGACGAAGCACCCGTCCAATGCTTTCTGCTTTCTGTTGAGGGTTCTTCTCGACTCGATGAATTAATTATATATATATATATATATATATATATATATATATATATATATATATATATATATATATATATATATATATACTCCATTCTCCCGTCGAATTCGACGTATGAGGGCCAAGCGTCCCAGACACCAGCACATGAGATTTGATAATAGTGGTGAAGGTTTCGTGCAGTATGAAAAGACGATGGAGATAAGAGTAAGAGTCTTACTCTTATGTCCATCGTCTTTTCATACTGTCGGATCTATATCCATATATTTGCTTATATATATATATATATATATATATATATATATATATATATATATATATATATATATATATATATATATATATTATATATATTATAGTTCAGCACTTTTTCACTGAAAATTTCCTGTTTCTTAGTACTTTGAAGCCATCATTTATAAGGTATCATTAACGATTCCAACTTAGAAAAAGCCTCAATGTTGCTAACCGTTTATTCGATACGTATATGTTAATATAATTTTTTTTCTTCTTTTGAGTAACACTTTCAAGACATCCCATTAAGCCTATCTTTTCCTGGAGGAGGGGGGACAAAAAGCTTATGCACGTGCTAAATCTCAGCTTAAACAACACCACAGTTTTGTTGTCTACAGAATCGACATTACACTAACACACATGCAAATACAACCTTCTTTCTTTTCTTTGTGTATGTGTTTGTTCTCGCAATTTTGGAATATCTTTAAGAGAAAAGCGAATGAATTTCTTGGAGAAGAAAGGTTAAATTCGATTGGCACTTTAGCGATTGGTAGAGGCGGGTCAGAGCATGATGGGACTTTTGATTCTTAAAAGGTTTCTGCATCCTTGGAGAATTGTTCTATTTCAGTAATAAAAAATGAGAATGGAAATGAATTTTTGTTCGCCACAGACTTACTCGTACATTGACTTTCATACTTGAAAAGGCTCAAGGCCAAATCTCATTGGCTAATTCACTTTCAGAAGAGGAAGAATGAAGACAAAAACGACATATTAGAGATAAAAATAAAATAAATTCTCCAACTGACAGAAGAGGTCGTTACATTCTTCGATGCAAATTTGTTCTTTTCTTTCACCATTATGCAATTTTCTTTATTTTCTTTCTTTTTCCTTCTTTCTTTCTTTCTTTTATTATTATTATTTTTGGTTTTAATATTTTTTATTGCTCTTTTGTTGTGACAATTTTGTGATGTTTCTTTCGATCCCATTTGCTGTTTTAATCTCTTTCCAATTTCATTTTTTCTGCTTTTTCCTTTTTCACTTTTGTTAATGTCCTTATTCGTTCATTCTAGTCTTTCCAGTTCTCTCTTTGTTTTTTTTCTTACAATTTTTTACCGCTTTTCATTTTATTTAATTTTTCATTCTTCTTTACTTATTTTTTATTTTCAACTTAGTTTCCACCTAATCGTTCTCTTCCTTCATTTTCTCCTCTTTCTTTCACATTTTTATTTTCTCTTTCGTTCGCATTTTTATTTTCTCTTTCTTTCACATTTTCATTTTCTCTTTCTTTCACATTTTTGTGTTCTCTTTCTTTCGCGTTTTTGTGTTCTCTTTCTTGTTTTTTGTGTTCTTTCTTTTGCATTTTTGTGTTCTCTTTCACGTTTTCGTGTTCGCTTTCTTTCACATTTTTGTGTTCTTTCTTTCACATTTTTGTGTTCTCTTCCTTTCACGTTTTTGTGTTCTCTTTCTTTTTTCGCGTTTTTGTGATCTCATTCTTGTTTTTTTTGTGTTCTTTCTTTCGCATTGTTGTGTTCTCATCTGCATATCTGTTCTGCTTCTTTCACATTTTCGTGTTCGCTTTCTTTCACATTTTCGTGTTCGCTTTCTTTCACATTTTTGTGTTCTCTTTCTTTCACGTTTTTGTGTTCTCTTTCTTTCACGTTTTTGTGTTCTCATACACGTTTTTTGCGTTCTTTCTTTCGCATTTTTGTGTTCTCATCCACCCTTTTCGTGTTCTCTTTCTTTCACATTTTTGTGTTCTCTTCATTCATTAAATCGTTCCGTCATTCTCTTTGCTTTCTCTCAGTTTTTTTTTTATTCTTTTACCCTTCTTGATTTTCCTTCTTTTTTTTTCCTTTTCTTTCATTTTAATTTCCGTCCATCTTTTTTCCTTCTTTCTTTATCCATTTTTCCTAAGGGAGTTAAAATTAATACGTTTTCCATTTCACTGAAACAGACGTTAAATATTTCTATCTTCCCTTCTTTTTTTCTTTCTTTCAAATCAGTTACATATGACCCAAATAGTTCAAACATACCCATCAAAAACTTGTCCTGATATGCGGGATTCTGGATATGAGGTACTCCGGATACGAGGGATTCCGGATACGAGCGATTCCGAATAAGAAGAATTCTACTGTATTGAGACATTTGGTATTCATTGACCGGGAGCTTTTCTTCACTCCCTGCCCATGGGGCTGGGAAGTAAAGTATTGTTATATGTGTTCTCCCCATATCTAACTATCTGATAGAGGTAATATTAGTCATTTCATTGAACGAGCAGCCATTGCTATTTTCGTTAGAAAGTTATACAACCTTTCTATTAAAAAGATTTTTTCAAGAAAACAAGTAGCTGCAATATCTTTTCCTTTTATTGATGGTGGGTGGCTTCTTTCCTTGACTTTTGTTTCAAGCAATCTGAGACGTCAGCATCTTGATTATATCATTGTTCTACCTCCAAGTTATGTGTGCTGTCCGTTTTAGTTGTTGCTGCTATTGAATGTAATTTGTGATTGCGTAGCGCCAGTGCACAAATTTCAAAGGAGGATGGTCTTCGCTTTGGTCTATAGGCTTCACTCAAAGCCATTTTAGGATCTGAGGAACGATCTGTTGAATGTTTAGATCTTTCTAAAAGAGTTTGGTGCCATGCATCGCTCGACATGAAACAGCCAATAGGATGAAACTATTTAAGAACATGAGTCTAGATATCCTTATCTCTTATGCTAATTTTGTAGTAACTGATTCATACGCCGATGTATTTGAAGTCTTTAGCATTTATTAATTCCACATCCTGAAGGGCTTTTCAGTAATTCTTACGACAAATGGTGTCAAGATGGCTAAGCTTCTTATCCGAATACCTGGACTGAGGTTTTTATAACGCTTTAGACCTGTATTCAATGAGAAAAATTGCCCAAATCGTGTAAAAACAAAATTATCCAATTGTTAGATTAAAATTTGAATCGTTGTATCTTAGAAATGATTAAAGATATCTTACTGGAATTCTCCGAGGTTTTTATAGCACTGTTGGACTCTACTTTGAACAATAAGAATGTATTTAACTCTAAGTTGAAATGATGGTCCGTCTCCCTGTTGTGATCTCAGTTCAGATCTCAAACGGCAGACCTGGACTAAGGTATTTACCTTAGCCTCCAAACAAGATTTGAACCGTTGTATCGTAGTTTTAATTAAATATATCTTACTGGAATTCTCCGTGGGGATGTCAAAATTAACCTTAAACCTTTACCAGGAAGGCATTAATTTTGAACAGTCTCAAAGTCATACATATACGGGGTGTAACAGCAAAATTGTCCAAATCGTGTAACAACAAAATTGTCCAAATGTTAGATTAAACTTTGAACCGTTGTATCTCAGAAATAATTAAAGATATCTTACTGGAATTCTCCGAGGTTTTTATAACAATATTGGACTCTACTTAACGAAAAGGTTTTTTAGTAATTCTTAAGACAAATGTTGCCAAGATGGCTAAACGTCTCATTTGAAAACCTGTAAAAATGAAGCCCGAACCGCCTGAAACTGTACTGAGCCTCCCCACAAGCTTTCAACTGTTGTTACTTAGAAATGATTAAAGATATCTTACTGGAATTCTCCGAGGTTTTTATAACACTTCAAGCCTGTATTCATACAATATATGTACATTGAAGAAAGGTATGTGTGCATTTAATAAACGCTACTTAAGTATTGAATAAGATCACTTTCAATAACGTAGCTTTAATTTTGAACAGAATTATTTAATAAATTCGTAAATATAATGTTTTATCCCTAAACAAATAATATAGCAACATAACAGTCATAGAACAACCACTTAATAAGGCAAGATAAATTGTGCCGAATCCGTGGGGATGTCAAAATTAACCTTAAAATGAAAACGAAATGACTTTTACTGATACAGTTTTGAAATGACCTGGAATTACCAGACGGTCAGAAAGTTTATCTCATTGTTATACCAAATCAGCAAAGAATTCAGCTACATTTGTTGCTTGAACAGGAAGGTAAACACATAGCCTACAAATGCAAAATCATGCTAGACAGGAATATATGTAAGCACCCCAGAGAGAGAGAGAGAGAGAGAGGAGAGAAAGAGAGAGAAGGAGGAAGATATATATATATATATAGAGAGAGAGAGAGAGAGTCTCATACAGCCTCGTGAGAAGACCCACGTTAGAAGGAAGACCCAAAGCCACACATATGCCGGGTGTAACAGCAAAATTGTTCAAATCGTGTAACAGCAAAATTGTCCAGTAGTTAGATTAAACTTTGAACCGTTGTATCTTAGAAATGATTAAAGATATCTTACTGGAATTCTCCGTGGGGATGTCAAAATTAACCTTAAACCTTTACCAGGAAGGCATTAATTTTGAACAGACTCAAAGTCATACATATACCGGGTGTAACAGCAAAATTGTCCAAATCATGTAACAGCAAAATTGTCCAGTTGTTAGATTAAACTTTAAATCGTTGTATCTTAGAAATGATGGAAGATATCATACTGGAATTCGCCAAAGTTTTTATAACACTATTGGACTCTACTTTGAACAATATGAATGTATTTAACTCTAAGCGGAAATGATGATCCCTCTTCCTGTTGTGATCTCCTGATCCAATTTTCCTCTCTACTGTTCTCTCTTTTAAAAACTTATTCACCGTTCTCTTATGGTTCTTGAATGAAATTTGAGGATGGAAACCAGAGTACGAATATCGGTACCATTACTGAAGGCCTTAATGATCGTTTTTCCACGCATCATTGCTCAGTTTGGAAGACAGACCGATTTTAACCTGTTCTCCTTCTAGATGAATAACTGAAAGGGTTTTTTCAGTAATTCTTACGATATATAGCGTCAAGATGGCTAAACGTCTTATCTGAAAACCTGGAGAAATGAAGCACGAAACGGCAGATCTGGGCTTAGGTATTGACCTTAGCCTCCCCAAAAGGGCGAATCCGAGCCCACAGTCTTAGGCAAAAGTTCTCCGGAGATCCCTGCATACACGGTGTCGGGCTTGTCTACTTCCCCAGACGTGACTATTTTTTTCGGCATAACATCTTCTGGGTTCCTCTCCGCCTGAAGGTAGAATGTTCGACAAGTCAGCCCGAATCACCTGAATTCGCAGATCTGGACTGAGTCATGTCAAACTGCAAATCAGCCTATTTTAATGGTTAAGAAAAAAATCCCAGCATGCATTTGTGTGATTTTTGCTTATAAAATAGGAGAGATAAGTTATTCGTATGCCGATTGGACGGGTCTTACTGACTATATTTAGTCACCTCACCCCACGTGGGCATCATGTGGCACAAGGCCGGTTTAACGTGGGATCTCTCTAACCCGTGGGCTCGGCCAAAAATATGCCCATTGAACCCGTATAAACGGGTTCAGGGTCGGTTTACCTCCCCGAAAGAGAATCCGCCCTTCGGCGTAGCCTCGTTCGGGTTCCTCCCCGCCCGAAGGAAGACAGTTCAACCGATCAGTCGGTCGACCGAGATCGACTTGGACTACTGACGATTGATGTTATTTCTAATTTGAGTGTTTTGTTATATTTTAGTTTTGTTTTTTGAGTTCACCCCCTCCACACTTATTTCATTAGCTTTATATTTTTATATATTTTCGTAAGAAAAAATTTAAAAAAAAATGAAAAAATACACTTTTGAATTATTTAAAAATTTATATGTGAGTTTTTTTTTTTAGGTTCTCTGTGTGTTAAGGGGTCCACCCCTTTTTCATACAAGTGGACTCGACCAGTGTGTACTTGTACTGCTGCCGGTGAATACCCGGGAGTAACAGAGACACACTGATAGAACGATACAGTGAACAGTGAGAGAGTAAGAGAGTGAGGTAACCGCTTTGTAGGAGTCACAGTTGCGAGCAGGTAGACTCAGAAGGAAGTCCTACTTCGATACTGAATTTCCCAGACTGTATATATAATATTGCTACTAACCGCATTTCTGGATCTACTAACCGTATTACCAATTGTATTATTACGTCAATACATTTATTTGCTATATTTCATTCCTGCGTTTGTCATTCATTTGAGACAGGATTTCATCAACACTGTGAATATGTGGTATTATCATATATGAAGGATTTAATTGTGATGGGTCAGTTCTTGTAGTGAATATACAGATTGGAATGACTCGGTTCTGAATTTGATTAGCTAGGTCCAGGATAGTTAATGTTGACCAGCCTCACCACACTACAGATTCGCAATAAATCTTTATTCCTATGCTGATAAAAATCAAGACGAATTAACCCATAGTTGGGGGGGCAGAAGTAGTAGATGTATACCTTTTCCAAGGGTATTTGCGTTTAAGTGAGTATAACACATCCGACTGGAACTGGAAATCGATTCTTTGATTTTCAATTCCGATTTTTAGTCTTTCACATCCATGATTACAGTACCTGGTACTCCAAAGTGGTCACCCATCTAGGTACAGTCCAGGTTCTATGTTACTTAACTTCGGTCATTGTACGAGAACTGGGGCTTTAACGCGATATAGTGATACGCCATCTACACAGTTTTCTTAATTTTTATTGAATACATCAACAATGTATAAAATACAAGGGAATAAAGTAATTGGGAAGGGTGTTTCACAGGCGAGAGGTGCGAGGTATGAAGCTATTGGAGTAGAAGAGACGGCTACATTTAAAAGTTTCTACAGTGTAAGGGTGGGAGCGGGATGCCAGCCTCGTAGGGCGCTTGATTTCATGGAGTCTGGGAACCAGTGAAAGCAGCTCATCGGAGCAATTACCATGAAAGTATTTGTAGA